TATATATATAACCTTAGCCCGCCCATCGCCATCGCCATCGCCATTGCCCATCTCTATCTCCATTGCCCCATCACCCATCGACATCACCCTCGTCCCATCGTCTTCACCGTCGGCCTGTCACCACTCACCCATGGCCATCTGTCCGTGGCCAATCGTCATCGCCCATCGGTGCGAGGCGAACTTGTCACGAGCTCACGGTCATAGCTCTGAGGATATAAGTTGCCACGTCTTACACTCTTACTTGTTTAACATTTGTGATTAAGGTTTGATAGGGAACATGCTTGTTTTGGCGAAAATGTAATTTCAAAAAATAATAGGAACCTTCTCTTCAAATGAGCAATTTGTGGTCGGGAATTTCAGTTTTTGCCTTTAATATAAAGTATTCAAATATTAGCACTATTGTTTTCTTCTCTAGTATTGGTTTTAAAGGTGCGGACCAGAAGGGATGTTAATTGTTATCTGTTTTAGCTATTAGCATTATTCAACAATGATGATCATTTGTAACTCTATTTTAAATTTAGTTAGTGTTGAGCATTCTTGTTCTGTGGTAGGTTTTGCCAAGGATTTGATGTACATGGTTTGAAAGTGAACTTGGACTGACAAAGAACTAATAGCTTGATCGTTAATAACTTATTGGTTTTGATTGCTAATAGCTTATTGTTTTGATGTCGATTGATAAAAAATATAAAACATCTCAAGCTTATTTATTTTTTTTATGTGGTTACATACTACATAAAGGATGATGTCTCCCTCTACTCAGGAAATATCTTCACGAAGCACTAGACCAGTTGGAGATTCTATTAGCGCAATGGATATCAACAACGCAATTGACGTTGAGAATGTGGTAGAAAAAGTGCCTTTACTTGGAGATGAAAGTTAAGCAGTGCAAATGAGGCCGAGGTCGAGGCTAAGGAGATTGAGGAAGACCCCAATGAAATGGCTAAACACATTGACACTCTAAATGCATTCTGAAAAAAAAAAAGGGAAAAAATACAAAAGCCTGGGCTGATTTCATGGAAGTATGCGTTGGTGTCGATACATATTGTCAGTGCAAACATTGCTCTGTCAAATTGAAGAAAAATAAGACGAGCACAACAACTAGTATGTTGAGGCACCTGAAGTCATGCACCGTGATATTGAAAAAACTGAGGCAACCGCAACAGCAAAATATTAATTTTACATCAGTCGATTCAAGCACACCTTATCCATATCTGCATACTGGTAAATTTGACATTGCCGCCATGAGAGAATCTGCTGCCAAATGGGTGCTCATGTATGAGCATCATTTTTCAATTGTCGGGGAAGATGGATTCAATTTGATTCTGAAAAGAAGAATATCCGAATTGCAAAAGATCAGCTGAACCACAAACATAAATGATTGTAAAGCGATATACGAGAGGGAGTAGTCCAAACTAAAAAACAAATGTTCAAGAAAGTCAATAAAATCAATTTGCCACAAACCTTTGAAAGTAAAAAAATCATAAGATTGAATATATGGTGATAATTGGGCATTGGATCAATAGCCAACGAAGATTGCAAAAACGAGTCCTCAACTTTGTGCATATTCCCCCTCCACTCTGATGTGTCCGTATTGCAGATTCTATATTCATTGCTTGAAAGAGTGGGGCATTGAGAGTAAAATATATATGGTCTCGAAGAATAATGCATTAAACAGTGACACAACATTGAGAGTCTTGAAGGATACCTTTTCGAAAAACAAGTTTCTGTTGGCAAAATAGAGTTTATTTCAAGTACGATGTTGTGCGCATATCATCAATTTAATGGTCAAATATGGCATTGGTAAAATCTAGAATATTGCGGATATGATAAGAAGTAAAGTGAATTTCATAAACAAAACAGACGGGCGACGTCTTCCCTTAGTTGAAATTATCTAGCAGTTGCAATTACCAGGAAAGGTGTTAATCTATGATTGTAAGACAAGATGAAGTTCAACCTTTGAGATGTTGGCTTGTGCACTCAAGTATCAAGAAATTTTCCCTTGATTCCAAGATAGAGAGGCTCATTTCGAAAAATATCCAACCGTCGAGGATCAGGATAAAGTGGAGAAGGTTTGTAATATTTTGCAAGTTTTTGGACAACTACTCATGTGATATCCGATAGTGATTGTCGTAAAAACTAATTATATTTAAGTGAAGCTTGTTGGATAAAAAGGCCACTCGATAGTAAAGCCGATGATGAAGATACTTCTGTTAAGTCAATGGTTCGAATGAAAACGAAGTTTGATAAATATGGGGTGAGTGCAATTTGTTAATGCCCGTAGTAGCAATCTTGGATCCGAGGTGCAAATTGAAGGTCATAAATGATTGTTTTCCACTTATGTATTCTTCTTACGAAATAGAACTGAACATAAGTAAGGTTTGACAAACATAAGTAAGGTTCGAGTTCAAGCGGGCAAAATGTTGTAAGAATATGTGGCCCGAAAGCATTGAGCTCATATTTAATTATTCTATTGGGCCAGGCCTTTATTTAATAATCAAGAAAATCTAATCCATTAACCTAGATATTTGACGGACGTACCAGATTTAAAGACACTCCTATATAAATTAGTCCTCTCTCCTCCTATTAGGGTACGCAATTATTTTCCCATCACTTTTTTGCTATGTTAAAGAATCGGTCAGAAGGGAGAAACTAGTTTAGATCTACGAATCAATCGAGTCACGTGTGATCATCAAGATCAAGATCACAAATTATGTTGCCTTCCGCATCAAGTAAGTATTTCGCATACACCAAATTATTTGCTCAAGATCCGTGATGAAGTTTACATATGGTATCCGAGCATGTATTGTGAATAAAAAATTTGATTGTGTATGATATCAAATATTATGGGCATATCCTTTTATACGATTAATGATATGTTGATTATTTGTATTTGGTTTTTCCGAATCACTATTATCTGTTTAGAAATTATAATAGCTTATTTCTCTGCAATTATGGCCGCACTATATGAATTAAAAATCTGATTGATAGCAGAGACACATGTCTAATTTATGATGGTCGAATTTGATTTGTGTTTACCAACAACACACACAATTGAAATTTGTGTGAATCTGGGGTGAAATTGTTCAATTTTGCTTGATGGCCATAATAACTGCTAATGATTGTTTTGGGTTTTAACACTCATCAATGTTTTATCGCATTAAGCCATCAATAACGTCTTATTTATATTAAAATTATGGTTAAAATTATGTTTAATGAATATGTATGTTTTATCTCATTAACATGTCTTATGGTATTATCATGTTTCATGGTTGATTTGGTGCCTTATGGGATTATGCACATAAAGAACTTAATTAGTATGGTGCTTATATTTACTTACGCCATTGGAATTTATGATGCTTATTATATTATATGACATTAAGGCAAAAATAATTAGTTAGTCACCAAAGTGGCCTAATTAATTTTTAATGTTCGTTCATATAATTTTATCGTCATAATTGTTCATCATATGACATTAAACGAAAATTAATTTGTTAGTCACCAAAGTGGCCTAATTAATTTTTTAATGTTGATCATTTAATTTATCGTTATAACTGTTTATTATATGACATTAAGATAAAATTAATTTGTTAGTCACCAACGTGGCCTAATTAACTTTTAATGTCTGGTCATATAATATTACTGCTACAATTGATAATTATATGACATTAAGAAGAAATCAATTTGTTAGCCACCAAAGTGGCTGAATTGATTTTCGAATGTTTGGTCATATAACTTATGTTCTCTTGACAATGTCATTATTCAAGATAAGTTTATTGGTTGTTAGAAATTATGAATTTACCCAAAGGTGGATCATTGTTCTAAGTATAATATTCTCTTGTGGATTGTATGTAGATATCCAAAGATTGCATGTTTGAAGGATTTTATTTAATTCTTCATTAAGTGTTAAATCACATTCGACTTATGATAATGATATATATTATTGTGTTTACCCAAAGGAGACCTACAATATATGTGATGAATGTATTTTCTCAATCTATTAATTAAGTGAGCATTTATGATTGTGCAACTGTCTCTCTTCATTCGCAAGCTTCTTCTGTTAATGTCTTCAATGATTTGAATTTCTCTAAATGGCGTGAGCAAGTCAATTTCCACTGAAGTGCTTTGGATATTGATTTGGCTGTGCTTGAAGAAAAGCTCGCTGACATTACCGATCAAAGCAGCGAGGCTGGGAAATAAAACCGTAAGGCTTGGGACAGGTCTAACAGATTATGTTTGAGCTTTATGCGAATGACGATTTCCAACAACATTAAGTCAACTATTCCCGATAATGTGGATGCGAAAGCATACTTTTGCTTGTGGAAGAGCGTTTTTGTTCTGTGGATAAGCCATTTGGCAGGAACACTTATGGCTAAACTCACAATCAAAAAGTATGATGGGTCGCGCAGTATACAGCAACATGTTCTTGACATGACTAATCTTGCGGCAAGGCTTAAGTCCCTGGGCATGACCGTTGATGACTCATTTCTGGTGCAATTTATGTTTAACTTGTTGCCCCATGAATATGGGTCTTTCCAAATTAACTATAACACTATTAAGGATAAGTGGGATGTTAATGAATTGGCCAGTAAGCTAGTTCAGGAGGAGACGAGATTTAAGGCACAAGGAGTTCATACGGTCAACCTTGTGGGTCGTAGAGCTAATACTGTTCTCAAACCAAAATCAAAAAATTTAATAAAAAAAGACCTGCTAAAGTTTCACAGGTCACTAATGATGGAAAGAAGGAAATTTGGGCAAATAAATGTTATTTATGTAAGAAAGGACACATACAGAAATATCGTTTGAAACGCAAGTCTTGATTGGAAAAGAAAGATATTTCTAATACCTTTGTATGTTCCAAAAAAACTTGTCTGAGGTTCTTTCAAATACTTGATGGTTGGATTCTGGTGCTACAACTCATGTTTCTAATGTGATGCAGAGATTTCTTAAATTCCAGAGCATAAACCAAAATGAGAACTTTTGTTCATGGGAAACCGTATTGTTAGCATCTGACCTGGTAACCCACATTAATCACACAAAATCACATACTCAGTGGATGATTAATGATGTCAGTCAGACTTCTCTCACTTCGGTTTAAACCTGGACCGAATTATGGTTCAATCTGAATTGTAACCGACTTATCGACTAGTAGTATTTCATTCGATGTTCTCTCAGTGCCACCGACCTGTAGTCCAAATCTGAGGTCATAAAAAACCGAGGTCACCAGAACCAAAGCAGGTGACAAAGCGCATACGCGACATCCTCGTACGCCGCAAGTTATTGCATCATTCAAGTGGGTCTCACTAACATGGTCGCCCACCAAAAAGCTATTTTGCAAAAAGTGACCGTACACCTCGAAATACGGGCTAAAAAAGGATACTATATATAGAAAATCCTTATACTTGTACATGGATCGAATCCTAAACATTCGTCATATATACAAAATAGTCCAACCCTTTCACCTCGGCTCTCCTCGGACCGGGGCCATTGCACTTGCGTTGTTGCATGCTAAACATTAATATTTATGTGAATAGTCACTTAATCCATTTTAAGGCGTTGTTAACAATCACATAATAACACGCATGAAGGCCCCAATTAAAGTCATAGAGACTTATCGTATTGTTTTGATTTCAGGCACCACCTAGATCTTTTACAAACTCTCTATGTACCTTGATTATCTAGAAACTTAATGTCTCTTTCTAGACTTGATGTTCTTGGATTTCCTTTAAGTTTGGAAGTTGATGTTTCAGTTTAAATAATAAACATGATTCCTGGGCTTGGCCCATATCATTATGCCATGTTTCCTAGCGCCGTTCGTTGAAGGAGCCCGGGTGAAATCTATTTCACTGTTAATTCCGTTATTGATTCTGAAAGTATTATGGATGGTTTATGTAGACTGAAACTTGATTTTTCTGCATCTTTAATGTGTGTTCATCAAAACATTGGAATTTAACGTGGTGTAGCAAATGAAAACTCTGCTTTCTTGTGGCATAGGCGTTTGGGTCATGTATCCAAAGAAAAAATGCAAAGGTTGGTGAAAGATGAGATCCTTTTTGGATCTAAATTTTACCGAGCTTGGGTTGTGTGTGGATTGCGTTAGGGGAAAGAAAACCTAACATAACAAGAAAAGAGCCACAAGAAGTAGTCAGCTTCTTCAAATTATACACACTGGCATATATAGACCTTTTGATGCTTCATCCTTTAATGGAGAAAAGTATTTCATTACCTTTAAAGGCGACTTTTCACGTTATGGGTATGTCTATCTACTCAAATAAAAATCTCAAACTTTAAATAAACTTGAGGTTTTCATTAATGAAGTTGAAAGGCAGTTAGACAGAAAAGTGAAAATAGTAAGGTCTGATAGATGTAGTGAATACTATGGAGGGTATGATAAATCGGGACAAAATCTCGGTCCATTTGCTATGTTCCTTGAAAGACATGGCATATGTGCACATTATACTATGCCAGACACCTTCATCAAAACGGTGTAGCGAAAAGGCGAAATAGAACATTAATTGATATGGTTAGGAGTATGATAAGTAATAAATCTTTACCCAAATCTTTTTGGATGTATGCACTTAAGATTGTCGTGTATCTGCTAAATAGGATTTCCATTAAAGTTGTTCCTAAATCTCGTTTTGAGTTATGAACTGGAAGGAATCCTAGTTTGAGACATCTGCATGTTTGGGGTTGTCCAATTGAAGTACGGGTACACAACCACATGAAAAGAAATTGGATTCTCGAACTATGAGTGGTTACTTTATTGGTTACCCAGAGAGTCCAAAGGGTATATGTTTTACTGTCCTAATCATAGTTCTAGAATCGTTGAAACGGGCAATGCTACATTTATTGAAAAATGTGAAGTTGGTGGGAGTGCTAAAGAGACTATGGAAATTAATGAAATAAGGCTTGATGTTCCATTACCCATTAATGTTCCAATATCCACAGTTGTTCCACATATTGTTCCACAACCACAAGAACCAAATAATGGTGGACAAAATTTGGATGATGTAGTACCCCATGAAGAGACTAACTTTCCACCAACTAATATAAATGAACCACGTGAAATAGCATTAAGAAAACCTACAATGGTGAGAAAGTCTGCTATTTCGGATGACTATGTGGTTTATTTGCAAGAGTTGGATTATGATACTAGCATTGATGAAGATCCTATTTAGTTTTCACAAGCCACAAACAGTGACGAGTCTCATAAATGGATTGATGATATGAAAGAAGAGTTAAACTTTGTGGCTAAAAAAACAGTGTTTGAGATCTAGTAGAATTGCCAGAAAGTTCAAAACGAGTTGGGTATAAGTGGGTCTTTAAGACCAAACACGACTCGAGTGGCAATATCGAATGACATAAAGCTAGACTTGTTGCCAAGGGTTATAAAGATGACATTGATTATAAAGAGACTTTTTCATTATGGCTTTAGTAGCTCAGTATGATTTAGAGTTACATAAAACGGATATGAAAACGGTCTTTATTAATGAGGACTTAGAGGTTAAAGTTTATATGGATCAACCCAAAGGTTTTTCCATAGAAGGAAATGGTCATATGGTGTGTAAACTTAAGAAGTCAATATATGAACTTAAACAAGCTTCCAGATAGTGGTATCTTAAGGTTAACTATACCATTACGTCTTTTGCTTTTTCAAGAAAGCACTGTTGATTGGTGCATTTACCAGAAGATCAGTGGGAATAAGTTTATATTTTTGTTCTATATATTGATGATATTCTTTAAGGGATAAAGGATCGTATGCTCATGTTTAGGAAATCTGATTGCCTTAAGGTGATTGGATATTTAGATTCAAATTAAGTTGGGTGCCTTGACAGTCGTAAGTCAACGTTTGGTTATGTGTTTCTCCTTGCCGAAGGAGAAATTTAATGGAAAAGTGCCAAACAATCTGTCATAGTTGCATCTATTGTGGAGGCTGAATTTGTAGCTTGTTAGGCTACAATTCATGCATTATGGTTGCAGAACTTTCTTTCGGGATTTGGGGTTGTCGACACCATTACCAAGCCGCTGAAAACATATTGTGATACTTCAGCAACATTTTTCTTCTCCAATAACGACAAATATTTCAATGGTGCAAAACACATGGAATTAAAGTATTTTGACGTTAATGAGGCAGTTGAGAAACAAAGAGTGTGGTAGTTATTCACTTTGCAATAAATATTCGGAAAGGAAAAAGACACAAAAAAAAAAGAGAATTCAAATTTTTTTGTACTCTTTTTTTATGGCGATAATACAGAAAGCAACTCTCAGCGAGTGAGATTTATCATATTCTTTGAGACTTCACCCTCTTAATTAATTTAGGGCTATATATTTCATTATAATTGAAGTTTTAGTTTTCAACTTATTTTATTAAAAAAATTTGTTTTTCATATTTTTACTTGACAAATATTGAAATGTTTTTTTTTACCTTTATTGGTTTAAAAAAATTGATTAGTGAAGGAAAAGTTTTATATATAAATTAATTAAGTAGATATAAGAGGTACTAAAAAAAATTAAATAATCACAAACACCTAGTCTATATATATATAATTACTAGCTAATAGCATTCAATAAAACCTATTTAATTTTACCTATGTGGCAATTAACCATTTCCCTCCAAAAACCGTTACTTTTAATGTATTTAATATTTCATTTAATTATTAAATAATCAATACTAATCACTTCAGAACAACAAAAATCATTTTAAATTTTTGATTACTAACAGTTGACCGTATTATATATTGACCGTATAATATGATTAGATGTTATTATTGTGGTTACATTAAATTCATTTTTTTACAAAAATAAAAAACTTATTTGAAATTCCTAAATAAATAATAAATAAATCACAAAAAAACGTACCCAAATATACATTACATCTAATTAGATAAACGCAATTTTTTTTTAAAAAAAAATTCCCACTCTTTTAGTTGTAAATTTGGCCTGATAAAAGTGAAACAAAAATAATTAATCATTATATGCATATAAATAACTTACAATACTTTATTTATATTTGTGCAAATGCACAGGGTCTAATACTAGTTTTTAGTTGAAATGTCGATTTTATAATGAATTTCAGAAAAGTCAATAGCATTTAAAAAATTCTAAACTCTTAAGAAACAACCCAAATATTTTAAAAGATGTAAACTCTTTTTCTTTTTTTTTGGTCATTAGCTCTTAGGAAATGACCCACAAAGAGAGTTTTAAAAATTCAGAACTCTTAATTTGTTTGACAGTGTCCCAATCACATTCTATATAAGGTCTTGGGCACTCAACACAACACCTCACACACACGTTAAGAATATGGAGAGCGATAAAAAGCAGGTTGAGAAAAAGCAATTACTTAGGTTGAAAAACAATGAAGACTGTGTGTGTAACAAGAGCATCCGGTTTCGATGCCTCGTGGATCGTCAAGTTCTTGCTCGAAAGGGGTTATACAGTCAAGGCATCCCTTCGTGATCCCAGTTAGTATTCTTCGTCTTCAAATTCTGTCTCTCAAATGCATTATTTGCGTGCATACATTATGAGTTGTGATTTGTAGACTATGTTCATATAACATGGATGGATTTTTTTTCGTTAATTTGACTCATTTATTTTAAAGATTGTTGGAATTTGAAAAACTTTTGTATATTTATGTGTATGCGTAGTTGATGAAAGTTGATTTTAATGAGCACAGTGAAGATGATCAATATGAAGATAATATTTATGTAACATGGTTAGGGGTACAAGGATTGATTATTACAACTATTTAATGTTGAATTTGATGTCGAAATTAATTATCCTTTTGGTTTTGAGACCCCAGTTAGTAATACATAAAATCTATTTTGTGTTTAGGCCCGGTTTCAAATAAATTACATAAAATCTCGTTTCGCTCTTTAGGTATTAAATTATTTGCATGTTTTCATATAGCATGAATGTATATTTTTTTTTTTTTTGTTAAATTAGTTTTATTTTATAGATTTTCAGAATTAAGAAGCTTATGCATATATATAGGTAATAGTGTTTTTTTTTAATAAAAAAATTATTATAAAAATAGATTAAATATGGAGAAATTAATTAATGTTGCAGAACACCCCAAGAAGACGGAACACTTGATGTCCCTTCTAGAAGCCAAGGAGAGACTTCATTTGATCAAAGCCAACTTACTTGAAGAAGGCTCCTTTGACTTTGTAGTCGCTGGTTGTGACGGCATTTTTCACACTGCATCCCTATTCTACCATGCAGTTAAAGACCCTCAGGTTCTAAGTTCTAGCTATTTCATTTTATATCATTATATATATATATATATATATATATATATATATATATATATATTGTTAATATTATCACGTGTACAATCGTATATAACCGCCACAAGAAATAGAATTAATAATCAAGCATTGATATAGCATATATATGTATACATTAAACAAGTACTTATCTATTTTACATATTTTTGGTCAGGCGGAGCTGATTGATCCGACATTGAAGGGAACACTGAATGTTCTCCAGTCAGTGGCCAAAGCACCATCGGTCAAGAGGGTTGTCCTCATCTTATCCATTGCTTCAGTTGCGTACAATGATACCCCTGCCGGCCCTGAAACAGTTACTGATGAGACTTGGTGGTCGGACCCCGAGTGGTGCAAAAAGGCCAAGGTAATTATACTTTAATTTCTATTTTCAACCTATGCAAAAAATATCGTTAGTCTAATTTAAGAGACTACTATTATTTGTAAATTAAATATTAAATAAAGATAATGAAGAATTTCAATTTATTCCCTTCCTCGTGTGACAAACTTGTATTAGAAATGGTACGTGCTTTCGAAGACAGTGGTTGAGGAGGTTGCTTGGAAGTTTGTGAAAGAGAAAGGTATTGATTTGGTGACGATATGCCCACCTATGGTGATTGGTCCTCACTTGTAGCCTACCCTCAACACAAGTTGTGAAGTTATTCTCAACCTCGCAAATGGTGAGTGGTTTTGTTATTCGAACAAACATGTTTTTTACCTATAAAAATTGTGATACAAATGTTTAAAAATACTAAATTTGAATATTCATTTAGGTGCTGAGACATACCCAAATTCCACTTATGGGTGGGTGAATGTGAAGATGTTGCTTTAGCGCATATTCTTGCTTTTGAGAATCCTTCTGTCAACGGAAGGTATCTTACTATGGAGAGGGTCGCACACTACTCTGGAATTGTCGAGATCATGCGTGAAATCTACCCTGAACTTCCTATTCCTACCAAGTAAGTACATATTTTCATTTAAAGAAAAATTACATATTATGATCCACTCGAGTTGAGAAAACTCAATTCAAATTTTCATCCATTACCATTAATGATATTTAATTTATTTTTTTCCCTACCTACACAACATCGCTTTTGTTGGTGCGCTTTGCACATAGTTTATTAATGCACAATTTGATCCATTCAATATTATTGTCTATGATAATTGACAATTTTAAAATAATTTACTCTGCAACTTAAAATCAAGTAAGGTCTTAGTTATTCTATGGATTTATATTATAAACTTTTTGAAATTTAATTTTGGGGCTGAAAATAAAACAGGTGTGCGGATGACAAACCATTTGCGACCAAGTACTTAGTCTCAAAAGAAAGGGCAAAATCTTTGGGGATTGACTTTATTCCGGTTGATCAAGGCCTCAAATAGACTGTTGAGAGCTTGAAATCCACCAACTACTTCAAAGTTGCTTCACTCAACTAAGGAGACCTACATATGAAAACTATTAATGGCGTCAACAATAGTTTTTAAATTTTTCGTTGACTACAGTAGTATTGATCAACGATATTTATGCATCCTTTCCTATATTTTGTGTACTAAAATAACAAGATATTTATGCATCCTTTCCTATATTTTGTGTACTAAAATAAAAGTTTTCTGGACACTTTTGTTTATGTTTGCAATTTTTAATTGGAATGATAAGTTTGTGGCATCTTTTGGTGTATGACATTTAGTAAAATTATTATTGACAATAATATTATTATTATTATTATTATTATTATTATTATTATTATTATTATTATTATTATTATAAGATGTTCGTGCATATTAGTTAAGATTACCAGAGACGTGATTGGGAGGAAAAAATGGCTGTGAATCGAGAGGTTCATATTTTTTCATTCTCGTTCAAACTAATTGAATAAAATATAAAAATTTAGTAGATGAACTGAGGAGGAGAAGACATCTTATTTATATATCGATCGTCTTTTAAGAGTTCAAATTGAGCCGAAATTAATAATTTAAAATAGTTGTCAGTTGATTGTTTGAATGGTGTATCATATTTAAATAAGATTTTTTTTTTTTAAATAAGTATATACTGTGCTACCTAGAATTTATTCCTTTCTGTGATTGTGTTGGATATAAGTGGATTTTTGTATTATATTTAGGCATGACATTTTTTTTCTTCTATATTTGAAGTATATAATATGATGCCTAGAATTTACTCTAAGCAATTTTATGTTATGTGTGTGTTGTTTCTTAATACTCTTTGAGTTGTGTATTTTGACTATTTTCTTAATACTCTATGAGTTGATATAAGTAGATGTGGTTGTGTTGAATATAAGTAGATTTTCTCTAAGTATTGGTGTATTTTCTTAATACTCTTTGAGTTAGATATGAGTAGATTTTTCTCTTAGCAATGTCGTGTGCTATTTTTTTCCCCTCCCAATTTCAGGTTTTTATTGTCCAGATAAATTCATCGAAACTCCCTAACACTACATACCATTATGTCTCAATATTGATATGTTTTCGCAACTCGAACGAGCTCTTCAACGGTCCTCGTCCAACTTGCTCCCCAGAGACCTGCAAAGATGCCGGGAGGTGTCCTCGGCATTAAACCTCCGACGATCAAGTCAGTAAAGGGATATGGATAGCTGTATTGAACTGTATGAAATCGCTTAGAGTATAAAGTGTGATTAACTTTACTTCTTCCCTGTGTGATCATCAAGATCAAGATCACAAATTATGATGTCTTCCACATCAAGTAAGTATTTCTTATACACTAAATTATTTACTCAACCTCCGTGATGAAGTTTACAATGTAACTCAAAATCCTTCCAACACGAACATCGACCCGTGAGTAGCATATTTTCATGCATGAGTGAATTTCTCACTCATGTTTCAACTAGTGAGAATTTTCGACCAGAAAAGAATGAATTAGATTTGTACTTTGAGGATGGTCTGCTTACTGCCAATGAAGACTCGAGTGAGGATGTTGTAAATCTAGATACGCTCATGTGGTGGAAAGACACAACAAAGTACAAGACATTGCCAAAGATAGTTGTTGATATTTTAGCCATCCCTATCAACACAGTTGCTTCAGAAGCTACATTCAGTGCCAAAACTGAAGTGATTGATTCATTTCATTCCTCCTTGGCATCAATAACTATCGAAATATTGATGTGCACTGATGATTGATGTCGTAGCTACATGGCATTAAGAAAAAAGACAAGGTAAATACGCTAAATTTTAAGAACATAATTTCATATCAATAATGATTAAACGTTCTTTTATTCTAAATTGTGTTTTATTTTTATTTATTTATAAAAAGTGAAGTTAGCCCAAGAAATATGTTGTCTATTCCTTGAAGGTTGTCATTTTATTTTTAAATGTTCAATTTATAATCTTTAAGATTTTTTTCTGATTTATATATATTGCGTGTCATTCCTAATACATTTATGATGTAATATCTCGAGTATTTCTAGGTGTTGGACCTCTACACTGAAACAGAAGATCTCATAGTGCTAATATATATATGTATATATATTTTGCTTTGTTCACCCGAGTTCGAGCTACATTCTAAAAGTTAATGTTTTATTGTCTGGAAGTTTAATGTTTATTGTCATACTTGAAGTTCCAACTTTTAAGTTTTTGATTGTCATTCTTGAAGTTCCAACTTCTAAGTTTTTGATGTGTGCAACTTGTTGGGATAAATTGGATTGAAGAAGACATAGATGCATTCTTATTTGTACTGGGTAGACATGTTAAACATTTGTATTTATCATGATTGTGAATTTTGTGATACTCTAAACTCTGACATTGTTGGTTGTATTCAATTTATTTGAAGATTTGTTTGGAAGTTTAATGTTGTAACATCTTTTTTCTTTTTTCTTTTTTTTTTCATGGTGCCCTTTGCAGTTTTATGCACTCATTTTGAAAATTTAAACTTCTTTCATGATGTTCTTTGCAATTATATGCACCCAGTTTCGAAAATTTTAACTTTAATTTTGAGCATTTTTTCAAGCCGAACTCGAGCACTTTTCGAGACCTTGAAAATTCGATATGTCTCGAGCCGAGCTCGAGCAATCTTGTTCCTCTAGCGAGTCGAGTCGAGCCTCGTTAATTATGGGACGAGGAGCTCAAGGCCAAACTCGAGCAGTGCAAAAAAATTCCGATCCTTGCTCAATAAGGTCAACGCTAGAATCGGCTCGGCTCGGCTCGGCTCGTTTGCAACCCTAGTCTGGATACAACATAAGGTTTTTCATTTTTTTTTTAATGTTTTACAAATGACCTCAAAGTGTCATAGTAACCGAATTTAGTAAAACTAACTGTTACATTAAGTTTTTCACCCCTCTAACTAGCAATCTAACATTTTTACCTTGAAAAATGCGAAGGTCCTTCGAATGGTTCGCATAATTGCCGCATATTCACATTAGAAAGTGCGAAGAATTATGTGAATACCTTCCTATTTTGATGTTTCACACAATGCCAATCGCACAATTGTTGCATAATTACATCAAAAAAAAAAAAATGTCGCATAATTGCCGCGTAATGCTTTAATATTTTTTGGGTGAAAAATTAACTTTTTATCCAACGATGTGAAAAGCCTATTCATTTTTCAAAGTAGGGTGAAAATATATATTTTCTCTTTATATTTTTTCAAATGTGATTACTTTTATAAAATAGAAATAGTTCATGCATATAGTAAATATTGATACTAGTGTTCAAAAGCATTACAATTCTAAAATTATAGAGTAAAAGTCACATTATTTATTTTTATTATTTTTGTGTGCATATTTACAATATAATTAATATAATAGTTTCTTAAAAAAATAGAATTAATTAATAGATTATGCAAAGTAAATATAAAGTAAATATCATAGAGTCCTAAGTCGAAATAGTTTGCATATTAATAAACAAAATTCAATAAACAAAATTACAATTAGCTATTTAAATCGTCTTACAAGCTCGACGGAATGATTTCGTAATCTCCCTACAAAAACATAACTCAAATGTTAATTTCGAAAAGTCACAGCACTCGGAAGAAAATACTGTACTTCAGAGTTCAGACCACTCATCTTCCATTTTACTTCCTAAAACCCCTCCTCTTCCTTTTTCCTTCTCTTCCACCTCCTTCCATGGCGGCGCAACCAAAATAAAAACCTAATATTCCTCGACTGATCCGTTTGAAGTCATGCCGACCTTCACCAGCATCGCCTTGGAAAATCTGTTCGAACCCAGAGTTCGAGATACGCAGAAGAAGCCTTTTCACGGGGAACGCGACGAGGCCGACCCGGTAAAAGCGGCCCCGAGGCACCTGTACATATCGCCCGGTCTTTACGCCACTCCGGATCAGGCTCCCATCCCCGACCATCCGCTGCCCTACCCGCCGTCTCCTTCCCCTTACGTGGTCAACCTCAAGCGCCGCCGTGCAGGGAATGTGGGGAGGGTCGAAGTCCCGGAATCTCCCTCCGGAAACGAGGTCGATGTGTTGAGCTCAGAGGAGGTCGGGGATAATTTTGCGGATGAGGTGGTGGGTGGATATGACGAAGCCGGTGAAGAGGAACAGGGGTTTCAAGATCCGAGGAGTGAGGCGATGAGCGTGGGGACTGAGATGGAGGTTAATGATTTCGGCGCCAATCATATCGAGAGCCGCAGCTTTGTTTCTGCCCAAGGGGAATTTTTCGACGCTATTGAAGGTATTTGATTTTCTCTTTTTTAGTGTTTATTCTCTGGAAATGTGGTACCTCTGTGTTTTGTGCATTTGTCTGCTTCATTCTTCGAATCATTATTTCATTCTCGTAAAATGTAGATGAAGGAAAGTTAATTTTTATCAACAGTACATGATATTATTGCTAGTTGCTACTGGGATTTATGATGTTTAAGGTTGCCTGTGGAATCTGGACCCGTTTGAACTACTGAACTTGACAATTGAAAAAATAAGTTTGAATTGATTTCATTGAGGAGCAATGTTATGTTGCAAGGGAACACAAGGAATTTAATTAGTTGCTGCTACGAGCTAGCGTTTGGTTGATTTGTTTTTAAGTATTTGTTTCACCAATCGTGGTAGTTCTTGTTTATATCCACCTTCTTATTGGGGATGGAGCTATGGTGCTAAACTCAATGCGAAGCTCATTATCTGGATGTGAGAAAATATAGTGACATAGTTAGATTACTGATAAAAAAAATGCATCTTACTTGACTTCAATTATCTGACCATACACAGCTTGAATTTTACGAACAGATTTCTCCACAGATGGCTCTGTTTCAAATGTGCATACATGTTGTTCTAGAACTGAATCAGAATTGCATGGTATAAGGCTCAGTATTCTTGAGGAAATCGAGAAGAGAAAGAATGCAGAGGAGAATCTTGTGTTGATGCATACTCAGTGGGAGAGGATCAGGAACCTTATGTCTGAAGCTGGCCTAACATTTCCCGCACCTCCAGTTGCTAATGGTAGCATCCTGCAAGATAACTATTTAATGGATCAGATTTCTCAGGAAGTTGTTGTTAGCAGATTTGTTGCCGAAGCAATTGGAAGGGGTCAAGCACGTGCAGAAGCTGAGGAGGCTGCTTTGTCTGTCATTGGAATGAAAGATCAGGAGATATCACGTTTGCGTGATAGGCTTCAGTACTATGAGACTGTTAATCATGAAATGTCCCAGAGGAAGCTTGTCGGTATGTTTTTATCAGCATTTTGCCTTCCTAATAATTGGAATATTTCTTGTGCAAAAGGTCTCCCTTGCATTTTTCATATAGGCAGTTGCATACATTTCCTTGTTGACTGAGTGGTTACTACTCAATATGTTTTTACAAAGCTTATATTTTCATATATATGGTATTAAAATAGACCACAAAGAACAAATATAGATAATATATCTGTTTGTACGCGCAAATTAATGCCCTCAATCACCAAGTCTTTTTAGTGAACTATCTTGTTGTGGTTTGAGGAGAGATGCACTTATGGTTCTTTTTTTTTTTTTTTAAATCACTGTTTCTATTGGGTTTCATCTCTAGTCTACCCCAACTTGTTTGGGACTAAAAGGCTTTGTTGTTGTTGTTGTTGTTGTAGTCTGCTTAGCAGTGACTCAATGGAAAGAATCTCGTCATTTTTCTTTTCTGTGTTGTTGAAGTAGCATAAGATGGAAGAGGCTTGTTCTTTAATATAATGATATTACCAATGGTGTTATTGTGTAGCATATGATGGAATTGGTAATAGTTGATTTTATGCGACCATGAGTTTCCAGACGCCTAAAGAAGAAAGGCTACAGCTTGCTCTAATATGGAAAGAATACTATATTTGTTAATTTTCACATGTTTCCTTTGTTTCTAAGTTAACAATTAAATCAGACTTCATAGAATGACAGGAAAGGAATTGCTATAGTAGAACTCAAGTGCTCAGGCCAAGCAATCTTATGATCTTTGCTTAATATTACAGTTTCATGAGGCTTCTTTTTCTGTTTCAAGGAACTCGTGATAAGTCCCTACGACTCCAGCTACATACTAAAATATCCGGAAATCTGGTCTATTAAATCATGACTGCTTAAACACAATCATGATCGATCATATAGGTATCTATTCATACTGTCTTCGGAAATCGAGTTATCTTTGAAAATTGGCATTATCAATAATTCCACATGTTGCACCCTAGCAAGGCCGTAATTTGTAGAACAAATGCGACCCTGAAGTAGTTATTTGGAATATTTAAAGATGCCATTGTCTTGCCATTAAGCCAAAATACATGCGTAGTGTTGTAGTTTTACCGATCAAGTAGGTAACTGGAGGCATGTGTTTGATTGTTTGATTAATTTTCCCCATTTTTCTTTTTCCCTTGCAGAGGTTGCACGTAGACAGCAGGAAAGGAAAAAAAGACGGCGTAGGTGGCTATGGGGCTTCATGGGGTTATCGATGACGATTGGTGCTTCATTCGTTGCGTATTCGTACTTCCCTCAGTCTGCAGAAATTCTCTCGTTGTTAAAACCTGCCGACTCTACAGATGCCCCATCTGCCAGTGTCCCTGAGACCTCCTAACACCATTTTAAGCCTGAAGCTTTTTCCTTATCTCCGACTCTCAGAGATTTTCTTGTATCTTCTAATTAGTACTATTAGTAGATTGCAGATAGGTGAGTCCGGTGGTCTTTTCTGCTCTATTTTTCTGTTGATCTCCTCTCTCTTGTGATGACTAATTTTGGACTTTCTGGCAATCTGCTGCTACATTGTGACCCATGTTCTTTTTTGT